AATCAACTCTATGATATGGCCACAACCTCTTTTGAGGAGGAGACAGGGTCAGTCATCACCAGGATTTGTTGATGGGAGAGAAGTAGACACACCAGCTGAAGTCCTATGTCTTGTTGGGGATGGACCACCAAGTCCTATGTAGTCGACATTTTCGTTTTGCTGCAACTGCCTAGGACAATAATCGTCTTCTTTGGTGTCGTCGAAAGGAATTTTGCTGTGGAAATATACATATTTCTTGAAATTAGAAATATGAAAATATCTTATAACTGCACCTGATCTAGGATCTTTCAATTCATACACTAATGGAGTAACAAACTTCGTAATTTCGAAAGGTTCATTCAACTTTAGATGAAATTTTAAGTAAAATTATTTACCGCAGAAGACAAATGATGTGTCCTTAATAATACTAAATCACTTACTTTAAATGTGTCTGGGCATCTCTTATGGTTATAGGCTTGTCACTTCTGAGTCTTTTGAACATTGGATTTTGCCTTCTGTATACATTTTGTAATTCTGCTGGTTTGTCAACAGCTTAAGATGCTGTTGGATATTTCACCAGTTTGTCCTAAATGGAGTTGGGTTGTCGTGTAATCTGTAGACTCATTAACAGATGTTTTAATGACTAGAAAAAAATTCAGATAAAAGATTATCGTAAGTTCAATGATATTTCTCAATGTAAGCAGATATCATTCTACCAATATTTACATTTACTCTTTCAGTAATGTTAGCCTGAGGATGATATGAAGTTGTAAAGATATGTTTAATTCCCATTGCTTTACAAGTTTCATTCATTAAATGAGACACCAGTTGTGGTCTATTACCAGATACAAGACTCTTTGGAATGCCATATCTACATAATTATTCATCAATTAGTTTTCACAATCACCTTTGCAGTCATTTGGTTGAGAGGATATAACTGAACCCATTTACTGAAATAATCTGTTATAACCAACAAATAACTGTTTCCTGTACTATATTTATGATAGGTCTCATGATGTACACTCCTATTATCTCACCAGGTTCCATTGGTTTAGTGATTTGCATAAATCCAGCTGGCTTTGGGATATTTTATACGATTGTTTTTTTGTTTGTTTTGTTTTTAATTATGCACAAAGCTACACAAGGGCTATCTGTGCTCTGCCCACCACGGGTATCGAAACCCGGATTCTAGCGTTGTAAGTCCGCAGACATACCGCTGTGCCACTGGGGGGCATTTTATACGAAGTGATTAATGTCAACACTTCGTTTTTCTAAGGAAAAAGGAGTGTGAGATAGTGAATACTGCTTTTATTTTATTATGGTTTTGTTTATCATTCATTTATTATTCCTTTTAACAATATTGTTATTTTGGAATTAGTTTTTGCTTTATTTGCCTGTTTCTTTTTTTTTCTCGATTCATTTATTTATTTATTGAAATATTTATTAACCTGGATTTGTGTATTGTATTGTTCATTAAGGTTAGTTTCAAATCCTGGTCAGGCACATATTTCTTTACTGTGTTTTGGTAAGTTATCAACTTTGTATTTCATTTTTTGAAAGCCACACCTTAGATTTCTGTGGTTGTCAAAGTATTATAAATTTGTTTTTTAACCGTGGCTGTAGTGGCGAGTTCCTTTATACCATTACATCGCTACCACAATTTTTTGCCAGTTAATGATCTTAATCTTGGAAGTAACACAAACAAATAAGATACTTTCCAGCATCTTAAGTTTTTGAAGTCTTTGTTAAGTCGAAGCCAGTCCGTGATAAAACGTAGTTCAATTAGATAATAACGTAGCAAGTTAGTGTAAATTTGTATAGAACGTTCCTTAAGTACATTTTCGTTTTGTTACAAAATTTGGTTCAATAATGAGAAAGCCCCAATTCTTAAAGATGAGGGTCTCAATGTTCCAAAGAATTATGTGATCTGTAAGCTTAGAATTTTATGAAGCATCCAACTTCAGATAGGTCTTCGTACCAAGAATAGACTAAGCTCATATCAGTTTATTTCTCGTTACCAAAGTTTTAAACTTTGACAAGAAAGAAACACAAAATTCAAGTTATCCTTCTATTTGCTAGTTGTGACTGAGTTGTTCCTATAGAAGGAGAAATCGAAGAACAAGAATAACCATAGTAGAGAACAACTCAAACACGAGACATGGACAAAGTTAAATTATTTAGCAATGGGGCTGCTACATTTTCATATTGTTCTAAAACAACAGACCAATCTTTATCAAAATATTCATGAAGCGAGTGCTTAAACCTCTTATTCCAAAATATAATATGTCTGTGTTCCCAATTAAAGTATACTATATTATTTATGTATTGTTACTTTCATTGACAGTATTAGTCATACTATTTGGTATATTGAATTTATTATTTTTTATTTTTTATTTTCATTAGTATACTTTTATTATAAATAATGTTTTGCATTGTTATTTAATATATATATATTTAGGACTAACCTAAATCTTCTAAGCTGACTAAATCTCTTGAGATATTATTGAAATATATGGTCCAAAATATCGTTAACATCAGGATACCCAACTAATGAAACGATGTATTCTAATGCCCCACCCCAGTGG